TAATCAATTTGATATTTGATTGATTAGTGATTGACTAGGACTAATCAATCAATTACTAACGAGTTTAGTCCCATATGGAACCGCGACCTCGTAGAATCTGCTCTAAAGGGGGGGGAAATAGACGGAGAGAAAAATCAATTACTAACGAGTTTAGTCCCATATGGAACCGCGACCTCGTAGACTGTCTGCTCTAAGGGGGGGGAAAATAGACGGAGAGAAAAAGGCAGTAGCAAAGTTGGGGTGCAAACCAAGAAGGCAGGAGAAAGAAGGGGGGGGGGGGAAGGCAGGAGAAATGGAATGGAAAAAAATTCAGGTCAAGGTGGGATATCTAGACAGACTTTGATAGTGCGTTGCTTTAAGATCGTCTCAGGTCGTTTAGCCCTCCAAAGATTTGCTGGTTGTAATTGATTGATTCGTACTAATCAATTCGATTTGATTCAATTCAATTTGATTAATTAGTTCTGACCAATTCAATTCGATTGATTCGTACTTCCAAGATCAGAGTCAGTGCACGTTTTCGGGACAGATTGGCTGGCTGTGATTGATTGATTGATTGATTCATTCATTCATTCATTTTTTTGCTTGATTATAAATTATCAATTCGGAGTCGGCCCACATTTTTCTCGAGAATTTGGCTGGCTGTGATTGGTTCGAGGAGATTGATTAGTACTAATCGATTCAGAGTCGGTACACGTTTTTTTTAAACCGCTATGTTTAAAGGATGTCTGGTGAATAGGAGGGTAAAAGGCGGTGGAAATGGGCGGGAAAAGGGTGGGAAAAAGGCGGGAAAAGGGTGGGATAGGGCGGGCCAAAGGCGGGAAAAGGGTGGGGAAAAAATGCGGGAAAAGACGGGACATCTAGAGTTCTTGTACCCTCGAGGATAACAGTATAGCTGCCTCACTGTTTCGTTTTTGTAAGGGAAAATTTGTCTGGCGCCCCTGTTATTTCCATTATTTTGCGTCGCGCCCCGCCCACGGCCGATTTACCTGCCGCGCCTCTCTGACCACGATTCAAATTTCCCATAAAACTCTGATCTCGGTTGGGCCTGAAATGTTTTGTTATGCCCCTACCGGTACCCGTTCCAAATTTGCAGTATGACCCTACCGGATAGCTGTTGAGTACCAGCACAAAAAAATTCCATATGCCCCTCTAAGGCTATGCGATGACAGCCACTTCATTTCTTTCTCTCTCTTTCTCTCTCTCTCTCTCTCTCTATCTATCTATCACACACACACGCACACACACGCACGCATGGCGGCCACTTCATTTCTCTCTCTCTCTCT